AAAGTGGGGTCAATTAAATTTATATTAAAATATTGTCTTTTTCAATGAAAAAATTTTGAAAAAAAAAAAAAAAAAAAGGTGACCAAATAATCTTTATCTGTAAACTTTTAATATTTTGAAACAGGAAATGTGCAGAAACAATGTTGGAAAGTTAATTAATTTGTACCAATCATTCAGTGAAATTCCAGTCAAGAAGATTGAGCTTTTATTTAAAAATCTTTAATTTGTACATTATTATTATGAGACAGGATGAAATCTTTTGACAAAGGGTATTTTCTTCTTAATTAATTTTGTCGACACAAGTCATCTACATTTTTATTTAAGGTTTTTTTTTTTTTTTTTCCAGGGCTTTTGTTGAACTTTAGAGCACCTTTTAAAAGTATTCACAGTGTGAAAGTTTTTTTTTTTCTTTTTTACATTACAAACTTCATAGTTTATCCTCCCATCAACTGACTGGCTCCCTTGCCCTTGCTAAAGAAAGCCATCCCCACAGCATGATGCTGCAACCGCTATGTTTCACCATGCAGTGGTGTTCTCAGGATGTGACATCACATTTCCATCTTGACCTCATCTGACAATAGCAGCCTTATCCTCCCGCTTGCTGTCTCCAACACACGATGTGCATCAGAGCTTAATTGCAAGAAACTCTTTTTGAATGCTCTGCTGTGTGTTGATATGAAAATACTGACGCTTACTTTACGTCTGTTTTGCTTCTTTTAGCTTATGAAACGCTATCGGATGATAAGAGGCGGCGAGAGTATGACCAGTTTGGCCACTCTGCCTCATCAGGAGAAGCTCATCGAGGAGGCGGCGGCGGCGACGACTACAACTTCAGGCAGCACTACCAGTCCTTCAACTTCAATGACATGTTCAAAGACTTTGACCCGTTCGGTCAACAACACCAGCACCACTTCCACTCACATCATCAGTCGCACCAAAAGAGACACTTTGACAGCCACTTCCAGGCTCACAAGGAGGCGATGAACCGGCAGCGGAGAAGCTTCCAGCAGGGGAGCTTCGGCGGAGGAATGTTCGACGACATGTTTGAGGACTTGGAGAAAATGTTCTCCTTCAACACGCACACTTCCAGGACTGAGAGCAGATTTCAAGGCTCGGTGAAGCAGCACTGCAGGACGGTGACTCAGCGCAGGGGGAACATGGTGACCACCTTCACTGACTGCTCCTGAGACCAGATGAAGGAATTTAAAAAAAAAAAAAAAAAAAATGTTGGGACGCGGCACAATTTTTAGTTGGGGGGTTGAAATCGATTTGATGCTAATTTTTCCTTTGGTTT